GAGTCTCTTTGTGATTGTTTCTCTCCTCATAAGGAATATGAACTCCCATTGCATCCAACCTCTTTCTCTCATTTGATCTTTTTGCTTGAGGACAAGCAAAGGACAAGTGTGGGGGAGTTGATATGTTCATAAATTACATCATTTAGGTCGCATTTTAGAGTCCAAATCATGTCTTTTCTCATAAAGTTTAGGTCCTTAGGCATTAATTTAGACCTTAGGGTTTGCATTAGGTCCAAAAGAGTTTTGCATGGTTTAGAGTCTTTATCAAGTGATTTGGAGGTTGTTTGGAGTTCAAGAGGTGTGGTCAGGAGTTGAAACAGTGAAGAAAAGGGTTAAAAATGGTGAAAACGGTAAAAAAGAAATTTTCGGCAAAAGCATGTACTGGCTGGACAGTTGTACCGGCTAAAAATGATATCAGGTGATTTCTCTCGGCCAAAAATCAGTATCGGGTGAAAATGCTGTCGGAGATGTTTTATGCCGAGACAGGAGATTTTTATCAGCTAAAAAACTTACCGCGGTATGCGATTCTCGGATATTTTGGTCCGGACCTCGTGCTAACGCCTCGCTATATCAAGACCGGGGTACACATGCTGAAGAAACAAAGCTGAAAATGACTAAGTGTTGAAGCCAGACCTCGACTTCAAGACCTCGGCATTGCACGTCGGACCTCATCTCCCTTGTTCCTCGACTACCAAGCCCCTCGGCGTGTTTATGCCGAGGTCCCTTGTCACGAACCCAGATTCAAGAACAAAGCTGATCTAGCGAGTGCACGTGAAGATGAATCAAAGACTAGGGTTCATGCATGTTCTTGGTGAGTTCTTCATGAGTTCTTCATTTCGATCTTTGCTCATGTGGACCCCTCGACGTCTACACCTCGGCATTGAACTCTCACACACCGAGGACCTGAGCCATGCACTCAAGAAGACCGGTCTAGTACCCGGTTTGTTCCGGGCTGACCCGCATCACTTAGCTTTACTATATATAGTTTTTAGGACAAAAACCCTACTTATCTTATATCTTATCTTATCTTATCTTTGAAAACTTGCCTCTTTGGCGAAAACTGGCTTCTTTAATCAGATATCTCGTTTTTACGTAAAGGATCTTGTTCTCTTTTATTTCTTTTCATCATCATCAAAGCTTATAATCATGTCTAGCATCACATCTTCCAAAGGGTTAAGTGTGCTCTTCATGATTAGTGAGTAGTTTCATTATGAGGTTTTAGATAGGTAGATTAGGGTGTTGAAATGCTAGATAGCGAGTTTGGGTTCTAGATCTGCATCATTCATTCTCTACTAAACCGATCTCTATGCTTGATCCATGAACATCACATGTGGTCTAGATCTGATGTGCTTTCACGCCTGAGAAGTGTTCGCTGAAATACCTGAACCAGGTTTAGTAGAGGTTTAAGAGTCTTTCATCATGATAATGATAGTTTGCTTTTCTTAAATGACATATTGAACTGATTCTTAATGCTTGCTGATTCATGCTTCTCAAAAGGGATTTTGGTATGAAAGAGGATTAGCAAAGAAGTTTAATACCTTCATGAGAGGATTATCTTGATATTGTGTTCATGTTAAATGAAGTTGCTTGATCATTTGGTTCATTAACTCGCTAGTTTAGTATGGAAGTATCCGAGTCCTTTATCCTGTCTAAAACCTCTATATCATCATTCATACATCAACCGATTATCTATCTTGTTTATTTGCATTTTGCTTAGTTTAAATCTCATTTTTGTTCTTACTTGCACTTTAAATAGTTTAGACACTAAAACCGTATTCTTGATTGCGCTTGACTTAAGATACAAAGCATCTTAAACTAGTGTCTAACCACAAGCATGGATTGATACATTTTCATTACTACAATGAAAGGGGATTGATAACCCTTGCACAAGACCTAAAAAGTCCTAGTTATCAGACGCCATCAAGGTACATCTCACTCTCCTTGTTACATCGCTCTATTCTAGATCAAAGAATCAGAAATTGCATTGTTTCCATCCTGACTGATCCAAATGACAACAAAAACGCCCTCTTAACTCATTGGAATGCAATATGTAACCTCACGAACTGATTGCCTCAGCCACAAAGCTCATGTGTTCTGTGTTTATTTTAGATAATTAAGGCTCTGTTTTTTTTTCTATATAATCATTTGTTTTCTTAAATCTGCTCATTCTCAGGTTTTTTGTAAATATTCTTTTTTTTTGTTGATCAATAATAATCACATATAAAAAATGGATTATTAATTCTAAAAAATAGAATGTTAATTTATCATCCGTATAAAAATCTGCTGGTCTCTAAATTTGACATGTAAAAAAGTTCGATAATCTTTTTCAAATCTTCAAACAATTGATCATAGTTTTACATACAGTTGAACCTCTACAAATTCATATTTAATAAATCAATAATCATTATAAAATAATAAATTTCCCTAGTCCTGAGTCGAGCTAGTGTAAAAATCCATTAAATTTGATAAAATAATAAGATAATAATTTTTTTAAAATTCTTATATAAATATATGATCAATACAAAAATATAAATTAATTATTATGTAAATATATATAGGTAAGATACGATATAATAAAATATGACTAATTATATGTTGTTTTGTTTTTACTTAAATTTGAAAAATCTTTTTTTTTATTAATATCAACAGTTTTTGATGTTTTTCTATCTGCATCCAAAATTTGTGAAGATTTTTTAGATTATTAATTTTTTATATGTAAATATTTTTAAATGTATTATGTTATTATCTTCAATCTTATCATCAATATTAATGATAGTAGTTGTAGTTTTTTATAATTCTTTTTACTACTAAATATATATATATATATTAACATGGATAGTTCAGACTATAATTACCAACTATTGCGATTGCGAATGTGATTGCTAAGATTAATAATCATAATTTTAATTTTCTATGCAATTTGACAAGCATATATGTTAAAAAATTTAAATATAACATTTGAAAAAAAATAAAAAAAATTATTTTTCTCTATAAATTAAGAATTATTAAGATTCATAATAAATTAATAAAATATTATAGTTTTATATTATTAATATATAGTTTTATTATATATTATATATTTATAAATATTAAATATTTAAAGTAAACCTAATTCAAATAAGAGCAAAAAAATTAAAAAAAAAAGCGAAACACTAGAATTCATCATACTACGTATCTTCTCTGGATTAGTACGCAAATCCCGGCCTGCATGACCTCCTCAAACGGTAGTTATAGCAGCATCCACACTCCTTCGCTATGCTCTTAAACACTAGTTTTGTTATTACTTTATTAAACTACACTTGTAAATATTTTATTTTCACAGATCAATCAATTTCACATTTGAACAGAAAAAACATTCAATTATCAATACCAAATTTGGAAATAATGAAAACTAAATATTTGTATTTTAAAAATATTTGTAAGTAAAACTAATATGAAAAGCAATAGTGATAATTTTCGAAATAACTACACTTTTTTTAACTTAAATTATACTAGTTTTACTCCATAATCATTTAAACAAGCTCATAAGGCATACTATAATGATACTATCCTAAATTAGAACATAACAGTTTTGCATAACTATAATTTCTTTTTGGTATGAACAGTAAAAGGTTTTACTGACTCTATAAAAAAACAAAAGAAATCAGTTGGATATTGATTTCATGTCCATTTATTTCCTGCTAGAAAGAGACCATACCATCAGATCCACATCTACTAAAGTTTCAATAATAATAAATAACTGATATATCGGGTTGACAAAAAATTGATTAATGTATAAGTTGACCTTTAAGTCTACATGATTTAATTTGTATAAGCTATAAGTCTACATGAATCAATTTGTATAAGCTATAAGTCTACATGAATCTATTTGACCCAAATACATCCTAAAATTCCTCATGAACTAAGAGAACTTCTGGTTTCAGTCACGATTGCCATCTCTACGTATAATAGAAATGGCTGGTTTAAAGCTCTAATTCATGATTAAACATTTAAAACTTTTTAGGATTTTGTCACGTTCAGGGATCAACCACGTCATCTCTTGAAATAAAATAATGTCCAATCATTATTTTTATTATTAGTAACAGTGGTATAGAGCGACAAGGAGATGAGCAGGTATCATTTCCATTAAAACAGCTGGATTTGTCGGCGCTTAAAGTCTGAACAAATCCAATTTATTTATTTATGTATCTTTTCAAAATAATATATTTATTTATTTCACATTCAATGTTTTATTACCAACCTAAAATAGAGAGATAAGAGCATGTATATTAGAAGGCTTTATTGAGAGTTGCTTAAGATTATTATAATATTTTTTATAAGCAATTTTCTAAGGATCAGCCCTTAAAACTCTTCTGTAAGGGTCAGCTTTTATATTTTAAGCTTCTTTTTATTATTTTAACTAAAAATATTCATTAGCAACCCAAGTAAAAAATGTGAAGGACTTTTATAGTCTAATGCAATAAACAGTTGACAATTCTGATGCAATTAATTGAAAAAAAAAATATTCTCCCCATTTCAATCTCATATTGCCTTGCGTTTTCTGGTTTCTTTTTTTTTTTAAAACATGTCTTTCCAATTTCCATGCTATTTTTAATTGAATATTTATAATTTATTCTAAATTTTGGATTATATGCTCAATCTAAAAGAATAAATTGATCACAACTCAAAATAGCATTTACTTCTTAAGATATAGAAATAGACAAATAGTCTAAATAAAAAATTTCCAGTTACATTTTGATATAGAATTAATTCTTAGAAATGTATATTATGTCTGGATCAAATTTTTTATTTTTGATTGCCTTAAATATATTACCTTACATATACACAAAATCTTTCTTTAAACTTCATTGTTTCTTCTTCTTCTTTTTTTTTGGTTTTTTTGGTCCTTATAAATTTAATTATTTGTTAAAGACGTTGGTTAATTACCTTAATTACTCACCTGTTGACAGTTTACTTAACTAGTCGCCTAATCTTCGCAAACACTATTTTCTCGGAATCAATCTAGATTCGTACTGTGCAAAGTGAACTAAACGCAGAAGAAAAAGACGAGAGGACGAATCCAGAGTGAGAGAGAGAGCTTTTCGTATTCTTCTTGTTAATCAGGAAAGATTTTACCGTTTCTCGTCAGTTTCAACTTTCAAATCCAAAAGAATGTCTGGATCTGAAATTTGAATCCAATGCCAACATCGAGCGGTTTCGAATCTCTGGGAAGACGAAGCGTGTAGGTCAGGGAAAACAAGTGCTGCTTAAGATTACGTTGAAGAGAAGCAAGTTTCGTCGAATCGGCTCGTTTTTGAAATCTGCAATTTCCGAAGGCTGAAGTTAGTTTTGGTGACGATGGAGTCGCGGATGGATCAGTACGAGATCATGGAGCAGATCGGCCGTGGTGCGTTTGGCGCCGCCATTCTCGTTCATCACAAGGCCGAGAAGAAGAAGTAATAATGCTTTCTCCATTAATGCCTTCTATTTGAAGACTCTTCCTCCATTTTCGCTTGATTGTTTTTGGAATTGGTGTGTGTTAGGTATGTTCTGAAGAAGATCAGATTAGCTAGACAAACGGAACGTTGCCGGAGATCTGCTCATCAAGAGGTAAATTTTTGAACAATCATTTTCGAGATTCAAACGATTTCTCTTCCTCGAATTCGTTGCTGACTTTTGTAGTGAAATTTTTCAGATGGCTTTAATTGCGAGGGTTCAGCATCCTTACATCGTGGAGTTTAAAGAAGCTTGGGTTGAGAAAGTAAGTCAATAAAGACTTCGTGTTCTGGATTCAACTAGATTTGGTTTTGAAACGAGCTAAGATTTGAAAATGCAGGGTTGCTATGTTTGTATTGTCACTGGATACTGTGAAGGAGGAGACATGTGAGTTTACTTTTTTCAAAAGATATTCTAGTTATGGTGTCCCTTTTTGTTGTTTAGCTCACAGAAGTCAAAGACTAGTGTTAAAATCTTTTTGTGCTATAATGTTTGTGGCAGGGCCGAGTTGATGAAAAAGTCAAATGGTGTGTATTTTCCTGAGGAGGTACTGAGTTATTTTTCATCTTAAACCCTCAAAAATAAACAGGATTTAGTGATTGATTAGTACTAAATCATGGTGATTTTTTTATTTGTTTTCAGAAACTCTGCAAGTGGTTTACTCAATTGTTGTTAGCTGTTGAGTATCTTCATTCTAACTATGTTCTACATCGTGATCTAAAGGTAAAAACAATCTAGCAATGCTAGTTGGCTGAATTATTCTGTCATGCTTAATTTTCTTATGGACTTATTTGTGAAGCCTGCTCTTTCCAGTGTTCTAACATTTTCCTTACAAAAGACGACGTCCGTCTTGGTAAGTTTCTAGATTTGTGATCTACTCAATTTGACCTGCAACAGAATGTAAGCGGTACTTTTAAAAATACTTATGTTTCACCTTGTGTTGTATCCAGGGGACTTTGGTCTCGCCAAAACTTTGAAGGCAGATGACCTAACATCCTCGGTATGTCGTAAAAGTCTCTGTAATTTGTGCATGTAAAGATGATGTAGGAGAAAGAATTAGTCCTGGCAGATTGCGGCTCTCTAAGCATATAGCTTGTATTTATGGCACATTAGCAATTTAGCGCATTTGACATGGGTTGTGAAGATACACCTTGCCTCATTTCAATTGTCTCATTTCAACAGCTGATTATTAGGAAGTCTAGATCGAAAAGAGATAATATCGTACGAAGATTTATGATAGTCATGGGTTATATATACTCCTCTAATTGGCAATTGGTTATGGGATGGAACACCATAGCCTTCGTAATGATTATTCTTAGGATTGCTCAGAAGCTTCTGAACTGATACTAGTGTGCCAAATACTTTGTTGTTTTTGACTCATGGCATTTTTTATGTAGGTTGTTGGAACTCCAAACTACATGTGCCCGGAACTGCTTGCTGATATCCCTTATGGTTTTAAATCAGATATCTGGTCCCTAGGTATTTGAACTTTATCCCTTGTAACGCTTAAGAATCTTGTTATTGCTAGTGAAGCTAAGACTGTATGCTGTCTAACAGGCTGTTGTATATATGAGATGGCTGCATATCGGCCTGCTTTCAAAGCTTTTGTAAGTTATTTACTTCACTTAGATAGTCTAAATGTTTTCTGTGTGTAACTTCATATATTTGTTTCAGTTCTTCAAGTATTTCTTGGTTTGGTTGGTAACTGACTAGAGACGGTTATGTCTTTAGAAGAGACCAAAATGTATATATATATAAACTTGTGTGTATCACTGTATCTTAGGGATGGAGCATACTGGTTATTCTGCATTCTATCTCTTCAAAGTATCTTACGGCATTGTTTGGTTTCAGGATATGGCAGGGCTTATAAGCAAGGTTAATCGCTCCTCAATTGGTCCGTTGCCTTCATGCTATTCACCATCTTTGTAAGTTTCGTTTTCTATATTTCTTGATTTGACACTTTACCTTGTCCGTAAGTACCATGCGTAGGCTTTTAGCTGGTGTTTAAATAATTCTGTTTGAATACAATAACATGTTATAGAAAAAATTAATCCTTATGAAGTTCCTGTTGGTGGGTAAACAGAACATTTGCAATCAGCGAAAAAGATGATAAATGATCGATTCTTTCAGCAAGTGTTATGTTTTGAAGTCCTGGATTAATTAACATTTCTCTTCCTATTCTGTGGTTGTTTTGATATTGCAGAAAAGCACTCATCAAAGGGATGCTAAGGAAGAACCCCGAGTATCGGCCTAGCGTATGTTTTCTTTTCTAGGACCAGAAACTTTCTGCTTAAGGACTGAAATTGAATTAACATATATTCTTCTTCCTTTCCTATTCAGGCTTCCGAGATTTTGAAGCATCCTTATTTGCAGCCATATGTTGAGCAGTACCGTCCAGCCATATCTGCAGCGTCTTTAACTCCAGAAAAGCCTCTCAATTCTCGTGAGGGACGGAGGAGTATGGCAGAAAGCCAGAACAGCAATAGTTCAAGCGAAAGAGATAACTTCTACGTGGGTGACAAAAATAACCGACCTGTGGTTCCAAATAATGGTAATAAAGTCACTGAGACCGATTCAATTTCTGTCGATGAAGAAGACATCCTTGACCATGCGCAACAACCAGCTGAAAATGAAAACGTGCATAGTGTTTCAGCAACGAAAACAGATACCCATGGGATTTTAAAGCCCTCTCACAGTGACCATCGACCAGACATTATTCAACCAAGGCACCCAAAAACCATCAGAAACATCATGATGGTTTTGAAAGAAGAGAAAGCTAGAGAAAATGGTTCACCCATGAGAGCTAATCGAGGGAGAACATCTGTTGTTCCGTCACAGAAGAATAATAATATTGAAACTCCTTCAAAGATTCCCAAACTCAGTGACATTGCTCATAGCTCCAAGACTAATGCAAACACTCCAATCCCACCGTCAAAGCTAGCCTCTGATTCCGCAAGGACTCCAGGATCAATACCACCGAAGCATCACGTACTCTCTCCTTCCCCCTCTCTCTCTCTCTAATTCCCAAGTTTAGTAGATATTCTAAGGATTTCATATGAAAAACCCGTCTTGCAGGTGCCAGTGATTGACTCTTCTCCAAAACTGAAGCCTAGAAACGACAGAATCCCCCTTGCTCCTGCTGCTAAACACGAGGCCGAAGAAGCAATGTCAGCTAAGCGAAGGCAAAGAACACCTCCTACATTACCAAGAAGAACGTCTTTGGCAGCGCAATCGAGACAATTAGTTGCGGATACTCCAAATATGGTGGCCAAGGAAACCATGAAGCTATATCCATCTCAGCCGTCAGAGCCTGAAACTAATTCTCATCCGTCTCGTGTCCATGCTTCCACCACGATTACGCCGGAGCCAAAGAGAAACTCTGTCGGATCTTGCAAAGGAATGCAGAGTGAAAGCAGCAACTCAATCTCGTCTTCGTTGTCCATGCAGGCATTTGAGCTCTGTGATGATGCTTCCACCCCATATATCGACATGACGGAACATACTACTGACCACAGAATGTCCTGTCACAGTGAATACTCGTCTTCCTTTCCAGATATCTCCTCGGAGATGATGATCCGCAGAGAAGAACACAACACCAGTATGCGGCTGGCTGAAATTCTCGACACTGTTTCCGTTCTCCAAAACAACATTTCCAATCACCAGCCAGAACGAAGCTCTCCAACCGTGCCTAAAGAAGATAACCCTGCAACATTACAATGCTATGAGCCAAACGCATCGCAACGACAACACGGTGATGACAAATTCACAGTCAAAGAATCTGTCTCCCCTTTGCCTGCTGAACCTTCTCACCAAATTAGTTCCCACTCGGATAACAAAACAACTGTTATCTCTCAGAACTCAACTCTCGAGAAGAACAACAATCCTTCCCATCATCATCCGGTGGTTGATGATGTCATACATGTTATCCGCCACAGCAGTTTCCGAGTAGGGAGCGACCAGCCGGTCATGGAAAGCGTGGAAGTCGGTGTCCAAAACGTTGATGTCGGGAAACTCATAAACGTTGTGAAAGATGAACTTGAAGTGAGGAAAGTAGCCACTCCCTCTGAATCAACCCCAACAAGATCGATCGTCTCAGAGCCTTCTGACTCAAGAACCGTGACACATCCTGAAGAACCAGACCCGATAACCAATTACTCAGAAACCAAGAGCTTTAACTCATGCTCTGATTCGTCACCCGCTGAGACAAGACCCAACTCATTCATGCCTGAAGAGGAAATAACTCCGGCTCCTGCTGTGAAAGAGACGTTGGACATCAAGTCGTTTAGACAGAGAGCAGAGGCACTTGAAGGTCTATTGGAACTATCAGCGGATTTGCTGGAACAGAGCAGGCTCGAAGAGCTAGCCATCGTGTTGCAGCCGTTTGGGAAGAACAAAGTTTCGCCTAGAGAAACCGCTATTTGGTTGGCCAAGAGTTTGAAAGGAATGATGATTGAAGACATCAATAATAATAACAACAGTGGTACCTCCAGGAATTGTTAAATGATTCATGAAGGTACGTAATGTATCATACCAGCATTTTCAGCCAAACTCTGTTACTTTTTTTTGTTCTTCTATAACGTTTATATTGGCAAAAAGTAATAATTCTTTCATAAAAAAAAAAAAAAACTTATTTGTTCAAAAAACACATCCATTTTCGAAATTTTGAAAGTACAGCCACCGATGTTAGGTGTAACCATGTACGTTGTTTCTCCGTTGTTGTATATAGAGACTATCTGGGATATTATTGCTTGGTTCTTTTTTTCTTGTTCAAGTTTCTAGTAATTTTTTTCTTTACAACATTTTCGTTTAAAATCAACGAAATTTATTTGGGTAATGTTGATATGGTGGTCTCTATTTCGTTTAATGTCACATAACTTGAAACAACTATTATTATTGAATTTGAAGAATAAACTGATGAGGTGAGTGATAATCTATCCTTAATTTTTCCCTGCAATTGTAGCCATTTCATCTGAATTAAACTAAAATTACAGAATTAACCATTTATTATAGTTATGGATTCTTCTTTCTGTGACATTATCTTACGGACCAAAAAATAAAAAAAATGGCTGACCAAGGCAGGGAGATGCATAAGTATTGTTCGATATCAAAATTTTGGATACATAAAATCAGATTCATAAGCATTGTTCGACATTAAATCTGCAGCTTGGTTCCTTTCAAGAATTACTATCAAATGAGAAAGGTTTAAGATCCATCAGATATCGTAAATGATGTTTCCAATTTCAGTACCCTCTTCACATTTGTTTATCAAAATTGTTAGTTCTAGATTATCCCCTTTGAACCAAACACAATTATCTCCTCTGAGCCAGACACAACGCAATCCTTGTGTCGAAATGAAATAAAGAGCTTGTAGAAATTTCATTGCTTCCGCTAGTAATGATGACAGAACTTGCTTTGATCTTGAACTTTTAAATCATGAACTGATGTCCATAATGGTCTCTTAAGATCCATCCACCCCTTGTTGAGGCATTGTCTGGACTATAACTACTATCAAAGCTGTAACTTTTGGCACATCTTCTGATATGATTACACGGTTTGATTGACTTCAAATTACTTTAAATGAAAGGGTAACTCTCGGCTCTATCTTGTTTCCAAATTTGAGCTTGATTCCAGGATAGAAAGTCTTTCAATGAACATTATACTTATGATGTTTTAAAGCTACATATTCAATGCGGAAAATCCCATTTTTGTCTCATTTTGTGGTTTTTTCGTCCAAATAACATGAAAAGATTGTAAACACTACAAAAGCACTTTTATACTTAAAAAAATTACTAAAGTATGAATCTAACGTTGTTAGTTAGTGAAACAAATAAAAATCATAGTGAAAACCTATACCGTGTACATCACTTTTATACTTAAAACAAAATTACTAAAGTATGAATCTAATGTTGTTAGTTTTTTCTCTAATTTTACATCAAAATTCCTAGTTGTCTTTTTGTTATGCATTCAAAAATTGTTTTGATGAGATAATTACACCAAAGACCCTAATATTATTGTCTGCATCCAAAATTACATTCATGATACTTAATCGTGATAATTGCTTACTTACGCATAGATACTTCCAAAAGTGTTGTAGTATTATCTCCAACTTCATCAATCATATTGGTTAACCCAATTTTTCATAATTTTGAACTTTTAACATGTATTATTTTTACATGGATAGTCCAATAGACTAATGACATACATTTTACTATAATATACAAGATTATTAGTCATAACCTCAAGTTTATTAGCATCATTTGATTTGATAGATAATTTTTAAATTTGACAAAAAATCTCGCTATAATAATTTATCAATTAAATAATATCTTTATAATAAATTTATAACTTCAAAACTCCGAAATTGTTAATTTATAGAGATTTTACTGTACATCACATGTTACAAATAATATTAGGGTTCAAATTTTTTGGTTTAAGATTTTAGTATATGTAACTCGTAATTTTCTTTAAGACATGTTAGAGATGTACTCCACACATCTGGTTTAACTCGGCATGAACCGAGATCGGTTTAATTGATTCCAGTTAATGAAGGATAACATCATAATATTCTGTTGAATAAACATCGACATGAGCCAAGGCCCAAGTTGCTTAACAAGTCGGTTAAGTAAATTAGATAGGGATTTGGAAATATTCCTTATTAGATTAGGAGATATCTAGTTCTAATAGAAAAAGGAAAAGTGGCTTAGCAAAGTTGTGCAAGTCACTATATATATGTAATTCATTGATGAAGTTGCATCAATGAGAGATACATACTTTGGTGTTTAGTTTTGAGAGATTTTCTAAACATAATAAAAGAGTTATTCTTATAAACAGAGTTGTGTTCTTAATTTAAATACTTGAATTGGTATCAGAGCTTAAGGAGAAGCTTGAGACCTTGGATATCGAACACGAAGATCATTCGATATCTAACCATGGGAGATATCGTCCCAAACCCTAACCCTAATCCAAAGGAAATTCCTTCTGCTATCCAGTGCCCTATGTTAGTGTCAACGAATTACACGGTGTGGGCTATGAGAATGAGAGTTCTTATGCGAATCCATAAGGTGTAGAAAACAATCGAACCTGATTCGACTGATCCCAACAAGAATGATATCGCCATAGGACTCATCTTTCAATCTGTTCCGGAGGTCCTTATTCTGCAAGTTGGCATACAAGACTCTCCAAAAGGGATATGGGACGCGATCAAAGCACTCATCTAGGAGCTGATCGTGTCAAGGAAGCAAGGCTTCAAACCCTAATGTCCGAGTTTGAGAGAATCAAGATGAACGAGTCGGACACGATAGATGACTTCGCGGGAAAGTTATCTGAATTATCTTCAAAATCGGCTTCTCTAGGGCAGACAATTGAAGAACCAAAACTTGTAAAGAAGTTTCTTAACAGTTTGTCTAGGAGTAAGTTCATTATATCGCCTCTCTCGAGCAGGTGTTGGATCTAAAGACGACGAGTTATGAAGACATAGTAGGAAGGCTTAAGGCATATGAAGAAAGAATTCTCAAGGAGGAGAATCACGGAGACACCCAAGGCAAGCTACTATATGCTAACTCAGATCAACAAAGTTTTTCAAGCTCAAGAGGGAGATGACGTGGTAGAGGAGACAGAGGAAACAGAGGACGAGGCAGAGGAAGAGGGTCTAACTCACAAGAACGATCAACAAATCAGAACCTATCAAAGGAGAAGAATGATGGGTCGAAGGTGATTTGTTATCGATGTGATATACCCGGACACTTCGCATCTGTCTGTCCTGAACGACCGCAAAAGACACAGGAGGCAAATAAATTGAAGACAGAAGAAGCTGAAGAAGCACTTTATATGCATGAGATGGTGTTTTGAATGAGGAAAATCTAATACCAAAGAACTATGAATGTGAAGAAGGACTTTGGTATCTAGATAATGGAGCAAGTAATCACATGACCGGAAACAAAGCATTATTTTCTGAGCTCAACGAAAACATAAGGGGCAAAGTGAAGTTTGGAGATGGGTCTTGCGTGGGAATAGCTGGAAAAGGATTGATTCTGTTTCAAAGTAAAACAGATGAGCAGAAACTCGTATCAGATATCTACTATATACCTGAGCTCAAGAACAACATTCTGAGTATAGTGCAAGCCATCAAAGCCGGCTGTGATGTCAGAATGAGACAGGATTACTTGACTCTCCATGATCTGAATGGAAGACTCTTGGTAAAGGTCATACGGTCACCCAATAGGCTTTACAAAATCAACCTGAATATTGGAAAACCGATATGCCTTAACATGAGTATAGAGGATGAGACTTGGAGATGGCATGCAAGGTTGGGGCGTATCAGCTTTAGATAAATGAAAGCTATGTCATAACAAGAGATGGTTTACGGTCTACCAGAAATTCAAGAAGAAGAAGGACTGTGTGAGTCGTGTTTAGTATGAAAACAGACTTGACAAAGCTTTCCAAAAGCATCAATGTTCTGAGCTTCAAGACCACTGGAACTTCTTCACGCAGACTTGTGTGGTCCGATTTCACCACCAACCATCACAGGTAGCAAATACATATTTGTTATCATAGATGATTTAACCAGATACATGTGGTCGATCTTGTTAAAGGAGAAAAGTAAGGTGTTTGGGAGGTTCAAGGTGTTCAAGGAGCTAGTTGAAAAGGAGTTTGATTGACACTTAGAACCGACAGAGGAGGAGAGTTTACCTCAAGGGAGTTTTATGAGTTTTGTGAATCAAAGGGGATCAAGAGGCATCTCACTGCTCCCTAACACCGCAGCAGAACGGTGTTGTAGAGAGGAGAAACCAAACCTTAATGGAGATGACTAGGAGCAGTATTAAGGCTATGAAGGTACCTAATTATTTGTGGGGAGAAGCAGTTCGACACGCCATATACGTAATGAACAGAGTACCTACAAGAGCTCTTAAGAAAATGACTGCTTATGAATGCTTGCGAGAGAAGAAACCAAGTCTAGAGCATTTAAGAGTCTTTAGGTGTCTCGCATACTCAAAGGTGGAAGCTGCAAATCTCAAGAAGCTGGATGATAGGTCATAGATGCTCGTACACCTTGGGATTTAGCCAGGACCCAAGGCTTATAGACTCTATAATCCAAAGACAAGGAAAATTGTAGTAAGCCGTGATGTGGTTTTTGATGAAAAGGCAAGCTGGAACTGGAACCACAGATATGCTCGTACACCTTGGGATTGAGCCAGGATCCAAGGCGTATAGACTCTATAATCCAAAGACAAGCAGAATTGTAGTAAGCCGTGATGTGGTTTTTGATGAAAAGGCAAGCTGCAACTGGAACAAAGCAAGAGATAGATCAGTAAGGGATCCAGGGATGTTTCAGATGAAGTGGGGTGAAGTTATTGATGCAGGGGAAGGACCTGCAGTAATCAGTTATGATAATGAAGGGAAAATTGAAGAAAACGACGGGTGTCGAGCGACACTAACGAACACGGGTGTCGAGCGATACCATCAACAGTGTCGAGCGACACTTACAATCCCAAAACTGATCATAATACAGAGGAAGATCTACCTAATGAAGCTGATACGGAGCAACCGCTTCGAAGATCAAGTCATCAAACACGCAAGCGAGGGTATCTTGATGACTTTGTCTGTCAAGCAGCAATAGCGTGTGAGAGCATCTCCAATGTATAACTCCATAATTTTCTCTATTTTAGAGTAACTCCAAAATGGAGTTGTATTTTACTCCAATGTAAGCTCTATTTTTTTTTTCTAAAATAGAGTCATGACCAA